AAACTTTAAAAAGACTGATCAATTCGAAGCCGCATGATTGTGAAAATCAAGTTCAATTTCATAGCGTATCATTGAATTAACTGAGAAAAAAGTAAACAGTTTAAAATCAAACAACACCTGTGCCGAAATCATTACTAAAAACGTACTGAAAAACTGTTTGAAATGCTCTACAATAACACCAGTTCCCAAAATAAAAAATTCTAAAAGATGCAGCGATATGAGACCAGTAAATGTGTTACCAGACATTGAAAAATTATAAGACTCCATAGTGCATGACCAATTAATGCAGTTTATAGAAGAAAACAAAATTTTAGTGAGGCGCAAGCAGGCTTTCGAAAAAAACATTCCTCAGAAACGGCTTTCCAGTTAGTAACTGAGAATTGGAGAAGAGCCATAGACTCAGAAGAAGTCATAGCAGTATTTTTGGATTTGAAGAGGGCATTTGAAACGATCGATGAGATATTTTGTTAGGTAAATTGACGGCATATGGCATAAGGCATATATCAGGAAGTGTTTTAGATTGGTTTAGAAATTATTTGTCTAAAAGGATACAAGTTGCACAAGTTAATGACACTATTTCATCAAAACCTGAAAATACGTTGGGTGTTCCACAGGGCAGTATCCTGGGATCACTTCTTTTTATTTTATACATAAATGATTTATCTGCCATTGTCAAAAAATGGAAAATACAGATTTTCGCCGATGACATTATGATTTATATAAGTACTAAAAATATTCAGACCGGTATCTCTTATATAAATGAACTTGTATAACTTGTCTCAAAATGGTTAGCATCTAACAGACTCAAATTAAATACAAGTAAAACGAAAGCTATTTTTTTTTATATCGAAACAGCCGCGCAGGCAGAAGCCTAAATGCCGGGACACCGCGGCTGCTATGATGATCCCAAAGAAATTTTGTTAATACGATTTTTGAACTGCCTAAGGTTAGTAGAACTGGGAAAAGCTTCCTCCCGTAGTTTGTTCCACAATCTAGACACCCTCGGGACAAAGGAGCGGTCGTATCGGCCAGTTCTGGATGTACGAAGTTTGACACGGTTAGGATGGGACGCCGAAGTCAGGCGGGTCTGTCTGGCAGGCACATCGCGCGGCGGCATCATGGAAGAGAGCTCTGAGGAGCAAAGCCCGTTGGTGTAGCGATAGAAAAGAGCTAGATCGCCGACGGCCCGCCGGTGCAAAAGAGTCCCGAGACTGTCTGTTAGAGAAGAGTCATCGATCAGTCGGACCGCCCTCCTCTGGACAGCATCGAGCATGGACAATGTAGTCGGGGCGGCAGCACCCCAAATGTGTGAGCAATACTCGAGGCTAGGCCTTATCTGGGTCTTGTATAGAGTGAGAAGGTCATGCGGCGAAAAGTACTTCTTAGCCCTAAACAAATAGCCTAGCCTTTTTCCCAGCAGCTGCAGCTATTGAAGAGATGTGTTCGTGCCAGATCAGGTCCTCGGTGATCTGGACTCCGACCAGCCGAAATGAATGGCTCTTTGGTAGAACTCGACCGTCCATCGAAACTGTATGAGCGCTAGGACGCTTTTTGCTCGTCAAAGTACAGTACTACGTTTTGGAAGCATTGAACTGTACAAGATTGTTGCGTCCCCAAGCAGTGATAGCCTCCAGGTCTCTTGTCAGAGAAGAAGTCGTCGCTAGTCTTCTTTTTTCCAGCTCAGCGGCAGAGATCGGCTTGTCACTATGAATTCCTGCATGTAGAGTGCTGTCATCAGCGAAGCTGTGGATTGGGTTGATCGTGCAGGAAAGGAGGTCGTTGATATGTAAGAGAAACAGTGTTGGAGCCAAGACCGATCCCTGGGGAACACCCGCGTTGACGTTGTGGGATGAAGAGGAGAATCCGTCAATTACGACGGATATCTTGCGGCCAGAGATAAAGTCAGCCACCCATCTGCAAAGCTTTTCTGGGAGGCCGTAGGATGGAAGTTTGCTCAAGAGGGCAGCGTGCCACAGCTGATCGAACGCTTTCGTGATGTCAAGAGCAACGACATGAGCCTCACCATGAGACTGGATGAGTTTACTCCACAGTTGCGTGACGTAAGCTAGGAGGTCCCCTGTGGATCGTTGGTGCCGGAAACCGTACTGCCAGTCGCTAATCAAGCTGTGACGTTCGAGGTAGTCCAGAAGCTCGCGATTTATGCACCTCTCCATCACTTTACTGATAACAGAAAGCAGAGCTATAGGCCTGTAGTTGTAAGGGTCGGTTTTAGATCCTTTTTTTGGGATGGGCTGTACATGAGCAAATTTCCAGTTTTCTGGGAAGGTGCCGGATTCATAAGATATCTGGAAGAGACCCGAAAGAACTGGAGCAAGCTCAGCTGCACATCTCTTCAGTACAATGGCAGGAATCGAGTCCGGACCAGAAGCTTTGTTGATGTCGAGCGACAAGAGCACTCGTCTTACGGTCTTATGCCTGAATCTTACCTCCCGCATAGTGTGGGGAACCCTTTGAATTGACGGCACTTGGGCGTTGGTGGGGACGTCCATGGTGGAGTTGGCAGCAAAGATCTTGGCTAGCACTTCCGCCTTGGCCTTTGAGTCGAATACAATAGTTCCATCCTGACACGTAAGTGGTGGAAGGCTACTGTGTGAGAAGTTCTTTTCAATCTGCTTGGCCAGCGTCCAGAAAGACCGACTGCCATTGCGCTGCGACATTACCCTGTGCCTAACTTTTATATCATGCTGGGTTTTAGCATTGCGAACCGCTTCGTTATAGTATTTGTTTCTGGACTCGAGACGTCGGCTTGTCTGTTCTCTACAGTGGGGTTTTGTAAGTAGGTTCTGTGGGCCTTGATCTTCTGCTGGCGAGCAGTGTCACACGATTTGTTGAACCAGCCGTTGGAGCCTGGTTTAGGAACTTTCACTGTGTGAGGGATGTATTCCTCCATTGCGACGTGGATAATTTCGGTTATTGAAGAACAGACAGTCGACGCATCCGCGTCAGTGAAACAGACATCTCTCCAAGGAAAGCTAGAGAAGAAGTCTCTGAGCCCCTCCCAGTCGGCATGTCCGTAATGCCAAGTTTTGCGGCCTGTGCGAGTTTCTGCGGCCACAGCGGCTTCTGACCGAAACCTAACCTCCACAACACCGTGATCTGAGTTACCCAGGGGGGACAGGACGGCAGTGCTGTAAGGGGCAGGATGCGTGGTCAGAAAGAGATCCAGCAGGCTACTGGGGTGTGACGAGACGCGGGGGAAAAAAGTAGGGCTCGTCACCAGCTGGGTCAGCCCTTGAGTAAGAGCGAACGCTTCGACTGCACGACCTGCTGCATCGGTCTTATTTGAGCCCAACCAAAGCTCATTATGGGCATTGAAATCACCGAGAAGAACTACCTCTGAAGCGGGGTGATTGATGTTCAGGAAGTCGATCTGGACGGCGAGGTATTCGAGTAGGTCATCTCAGTTATGGTTCGAGGGAGAGCGATAAAGGCAGCAAATAAATTTGGGTGATGTTTTGGAGTTGAGGCGAAGCCACAGAATGTCCTTCCGGTCTGATTCCAAAGAAAGATCCCTGGAGCAGGAAAGACTGCTGCGGACAAAAGCCACAACTCCCCCGTTCTTTCTCAGATGATGTTAAGAAAAAAAAACAATGTACAAATGTTCAACTGAATATTGATGGTGAAGATATTAAATTCATAGAAAATTTTAAATATTTCTTGTACTATTCTATATTTAGCAAATAATTCCATTTTTGAAATACTGCAAATTTTACAAAACAAGTGCATGAGAATAATACTGAATAAAGATAAATATACTCCAATTAGACAAATGCTTAGCAAATTAGAATGGCTCAATGTAAAAAATTTTATCAAATATCTTGTAATGATATTAATTTATAAAGTAAAAAATAATATATTTCCATCAACTAATTTAACATCATCAAATGCCGACCATCATTTACATAATACCAGAAATAAAGATGACTTCCATTTAATGACCAAAAAGTATAACATATGCTACAAATCTGTATTCCATCAAGGGTTGATTGAATATAATAAATTATACACAGAGATAAAAGACCAGAGAACTTATTATATAAATTTAAAGTAAAATTGAGGAATCACTTGTTAAATCTACAATTATAGCTTGCCCAGAATTTACATCATACATCATATGGTTTAAATTTACTAATTCTAAGTTGCTTACAATTATTCTGTTTATGTAGCCAAATGTGCTAAATAAATCTTTCTACTACTACTATTACTATTGATATGAAACTATACAGCACACGCTTCAAAATCCTGTTCAATACATAATGGATCAAACTGTACATTCTTCGCTGTCAGACCATTGTTTACCCACATAGCAACTCCTCCACATCTTTTAATTTTTCTAACAGTTGACTTTCTTATGAAAACCTTCAATATGGATTGACTTTAGAATTATGTTCCTTAACACCAGTTTCGACAATACATGAAACATTTATGTATTTATATTTATAATCAGATATTTCAGCGAGAAGTAGGTTTATTTTATTGACATTTATTGTATTTATATTTAGTAACACCATGTTTGGACCAATTATGAGGTCTGATGGATCACGTTTTTCTGAATCTCTAAAAAACGATTAGAATACGCCGCGGCCAAATAGGATTCATAGGACTTTCAAAATCACACTCATGCACACCATCCTTGAACGATACATACTCGTTGGAATACTTGTAGGGCACCTTCGGGATATTTCAATAAGCGAACCCTATCTTCGACTGAAGTGCTTGGGTCCACATGCAGTACTTTCTGTCATCCAGCTGGATCAGTAGTTGTAGTACAAGTATAAGGTTTAACTGCATCACTGTTGATATTTATGTACCGATTCAGGGTGGTTTCGGTGCATGCTTGACTACAAGTCACAGGTCATTCAAATTAGATCGTTAATGTTTGTCATTGCAGGATAAAATTCATCAGTGCAATTTAAAATAGACTATACATATACAATACATTCATTAATAAAGATTTGTAATAAACATCATATTTGTAGGATGTTTTGGATGGGTCTGTGAATGAGACAGAAAATACTGAAAATGACACGAATGGAAGTCTGGTAATTGATTCTCAGGTAATAGTTTGAAACTTATATGAAATAATAGAGCGTTATCCATATTTAAGAATAATAAGTAGATATTAGTATATTGACTATCAATGTTGCATTAGTAGTATATCCTACAATGTAATATACCGAGATTAGTCTTTTTTGATCCTCAAAGCTACTGTGAATTACAAAAATACAAACTATGCAAAAAATATCTAGGTTGTTGATGAAATGAGCATCTACGCTCAACAGTAACTGGATAAATACAAAAACTGTGCGTCAGCTCACTTAATTTTATAAGCATCCTCCTCTGCGTCTCCAAGAGGTACCTAATTTGACCGCGTATCGAAAACGTATTACCACTAACAAAATTTCGGATGTCTTTCATTATTGTGGGTTAATAATTTGCACATCTACGATATAAGTTTTGAAAAATTATCTGCTATGACCCGACATACATAGTGTTACTGAAATTTTATCAAAATAATATAAAAAAAAAATTATAAACAATCATACTTATACCGCTGGTTTCCTGTTTGTAAGCTTACATTGTCTATGGCGTGCTAAAAATTGTTTGATAACAATAAAAGTAGACGTAATGTGAAAAAGCATTTATTTCTCCAAATACAAAAAAAAATTAATAGAAAAGAAGGAGCTTTGTGGATTCGAACCTCCGTCCTGCGGTTCTGCAACCGTTACTTCTTCCCATTACACTAAGACGCCTCTTAGTTTACTAGATCTTTATACCACTATACTTGACAATGACAAATGTCAAGCGAATGTTTGAGGCACATCAAATACATATGTTATAAACAATTGAAATAATCTTGAAAACTATACAAGGTAAAATGTCGAATCTTTAAATAATATATTAGAGGCTAATACCTACCATTTTGCATAGTTTTTCAGATGGTCAGTTTGCTTCAATTGATTGATATTTGTCTTCCGCTTTTTCATTTTCTCGAGTTTGTTTTCCAACATTTTGAACCGCAGTCATTTTAATCGTACGAGATTTCTTAAACTGTCGTATACTCTATTAATACTTTTATAAAAAATGTCTAGTGAATTATATTTCTTCGAAAAGAAACTGGATTACGTGACCTACGACCTACTTATTTGACAGTCATCAATAATGTAGCCATTTAGCACATGCCATGTTACATACTAACTAGTCTAAGACGGTTTGAAACATAATTGTGTCTTCGTGTGCGTGTGGTCTCATAAATTCCTAAAAATCTTATTTGAAGAGCTTTCCCGTTGCTGCCAACACATTCAATTGAACTGAATTCTTTGTTGTCGAATAAAAAGTTTTCCCACAAAAATTGGTGTACCCCCTTGAACAACTTATATAAATAAAAGCAGATTATACAATTATTTCGCAAACCGGTATTTTCGTCTGTGATTAGATTCTTACAAAAGCTTTTACTATTTATTACTGGGACTTCCTTCAGATGGAAATAGTCGAATTAGAGATGCAACAATTTTAGTTCGTTTATGCTTGCACTGGCTTATCTTTTCAACAATCCATAAAATTGCTGTTTCAGGATTCAATAAATTCAGAAGCTACGCTAAAAGAAAACAAAACAAAATGTAGCTTTCTGAAGAGTTTGAAGAAAGCACAGAATAAAATTTCGAATCCTTTAAGTCTAACTGATAAATATGCAGGCGTAAATTTGGAAAGCAAAGATACACATGAAACGTCTGGAAATAGAGAGGTGAGTGCTATTCAAACAGGCATTCATTACAAATATATATTGTAATATTTTCAGACCGGTGAAAAACGTAAGACATCGGAATCTGAAACAGATAATCAGAAAGAAAAACAAAGAAAACTGGATAGTTTTAGATTTATGAAGCGTACTTAGAATACAGTGGCTATTTTACTATTTTCAATCAAGTAAAGCGATTGTACAACTTATATTTTGTATGTTATGTAAGGATTCCATTTATTTTATATTCTAGTTTTCCTTGGGTCACTGAAAATTCCTTTTTCGAACATGCTCTCCCATTCTTTTCCATTGGGATAGACATAATTTTCTAGTGCTTCTTTCTTGAATTCTGTGCTGTAACCGGGTTCCTGCAAGAAACATATGATGTTATACAAGGAACTAAGTATGGATTTAGCATATACATAGGAAGAAAAAAAATGTGGTCACAGAGAAACGTCTTACAGACACACACCTAATGAACGCAGTTTTTTTTCATATTTTGTATCTAAATAAATGGTGAACAAGCAAAGTAGGTTGAACGTTCTAGTCTAAGTAAGTCATATTATAGTTAGATCGAGAATTTCTGCCATACAGCTGAACGACCTTTGAAATGGAATGCTCTACTTTTTCTACAATTTTTATATTGTGTTTATACATTACATATTTTTTTTTCTGATTTGTCTGATATGAGAGGGTCTTTCCTTTCAGAGTTGTCAGCTGTACGTGCCAAATTTTCAAACTATGTATGGATGTCACTTACACCCTATTAATTTCATAACCATGGTACTCACCCTAGGAGCTAAATAATGAGCGTTTTCGACAATACATGGATATACGAAGTGCTCATGTTGCTGGTCAATATATTCGACATATTTGCCTTCAGATGAACCTGATAACGCCACATAGTCCCACATTTGCAAATGTTGAACCATCTCACAAAGACCTACCCCACCTGCGTGAGGGCATACTTTCACTTAAAAATAAAATATGGCGTTAGTCATGACCGAATTCTAATTTCGCATAGGAAGGTAGATCTTTTTATTTTGAAAACTAAAACTAATAGCTTAGACATAGCCCTAATAATGACTACCTACCGCATTCGTTTATATCATCATTTAGACATTATTTCATTTTTGAGAATGTCTTTAAAAGATATTTGAAGATACAAGTGGATAAAGGTGCCATGTAAAAAAAATCATTGTATGGAGAAAATTTACTTTAAAGATTTTTCATTGGGATTTTTTACTTTATTGAAAATTATATTTAGTTTAATTAGTTTGTTATTATCTTGTTTTTGGAACAAAGTAATCACAGAAAGAAAGAATCACTTCTTAAGGTTAGTTTAATGCAAAAAAGCAATTTTAAAAAAAATGACACCTTTATCCACTTGTGTCTTCATTTAGATAATACAGATATAATTTCGTTTCGCAGTTGACACTAGCAGATGAAGGTCATTTTTATGAACATGAACAACCGCAAAATTAGAAGTAGAAGCTCTGTATACATTTGCTCGGTTCACACAAACTGAAGGAATGCTTGGTTGATAATATTTGTACTATATTGTTTATAATATAACCGTAGTTTTACAAGATCCATATGCGGCATCGTTGAAATCGGGATCAAAACCTCTATGTAAATTCTAATTATGCCATCTTGTGGAGGAAAAAAGTGTCAATTTGTGTTGAAATTAATTTTTAAATGATGTCAGGCAAAAACTAAAATGATTCTGGAAAAAATCTGTTTTCCCATTTACATTCCGAAATATTTCAAAACATTTAAGTGTCGCACATTTAGTTGCCTGGACCTGGATGCGCCAATTTAACCGACTTCGTATCTCTTAGTGCTTCCGAGATCGCAATGCTGATTGTCTAACTTGAAGCATGTCGAGATATTTGACGTAACCTTTGAGAAAACATAGCAATAGTCCTTGAGTGTGACCGAAATTACTGGAAATATTAATACTACCAGAAAATGTATTTGCCGGAAAAAATATATAGTAAAACCAAAATATTACCTCCTAACTTATGAGCCATAAGATACACAGACAGTATTTCGTTAACTCCTCCGATCCTAGCAGAGTCAATCTGACAGAACTGTAGAGCTTCTGCTTGCAAGAACTGTTTGAACAACACTCGGTTGCAGCACATCTCTCCAGTCGCAACGCCAATGCCCAATGGCTTCAAGGTTCTAGCGATTTGGGCGTGACCCAGAACATCATCCGGTGAAGTCGGTTCCTCGATCCAGAGTGGTTTGAAATGGGCCAGCTGTTGCATCCAGTCGATCGCCTCTTGGACTTCCCAGACTTGATTGGCGTCCACCATCTTAGGTATAATGAAGTGATACACAGGGTATTTCCAAAACATGTAGCAAACATTTGAAGGGGGGTTCTTTGAACTATTCTGTCCTTTGACGATTTTCGAAATAACGAATCGTTAAATACGAGTTAGTGAAAATTGGGTCTTTTCAAATAATGATTGAACGACACTGTATAATGCAGCGTCATATGAGGGTTTGCATGTAAAACATTTCACACATCGTATCGCTGGGCACTATGCGCGGCAGGATATAATAGTGCGCGTACAATAATGGCTTACTTCTCAAACTAGGTATGTAATGTATTTTTGTCATTCTTGTACAAGGCGTATACATACTATCCATATTGTGTTAGGGCTAGATCGCCATTGACGATTCAAATGAGTTCATTGTAAATACTATGCTGTCAAAGTTTCGTTGGATTACTGTTTAAAAGTAATTTAAGAAACACAAGTTCTATATAGATTACTGGTTTTTGTTTATTAATATAAACATAAAGCATGCTCACCAGAGTTCTTTTCCAACCGATGATATTCCTTATAAACTCCAGACGCTTGATATCTTCATATAAATTCTTACCCACTTTTACTTTGAAGGCATTAAATCCTTTATCCATATACTTCTGAGCTAATTGATTGATTTTTTCATTCGAGTACCCCAGCCAGCCTGTAAAATAGTTGCTGTGTTTCAAGTGCAACATGATTTAGAAAACAATGGCAATCCTTCTAGGACAAGAAATAGGTTCAAAAGTAACACATAAAGTTCCTATAACATGGGTCTAGTGTCCTACTATCAAGATACACAATAATGGAGTTATAATGAATGGAAATTTTCTATATGCAGTACGTACAACGTAACCAATACTGGTAAAAAGCTGTCTGGGCTCAGACTGTGTCAGTAGCTTGAAAACTACGGAAGAATATTTTCTACGCCACGCATACTTGATTCTACATTAAATGAATTGTAAATAAATCTGTTCTACTTTGAAAATGAGCTGGTGTTGATTAAGTTTGACCTTTAAAATTGTATCAAGGGATGAGTGGAAGAGCACGCAGGTCGTGAACTCCCCCTTGAGATTCGAGAGCAATTATTCCTATTTGTTGAACACTATTTTTGTATGCATTGTCTTTTCGAATAAAGCCATTTATTATTATTATTATATTAGAGGAACAGTACCAACTCAACAGTTTTATTTAGAAAATATTAATGACTTATCCGCCATCAGTAAGGTCAGTAATGTAGGCATTTACAAACCCTATATCTGGTTGACTGAAAGCTTGAGAAATTAAAAGGTAAGAGCCGCATTTCTCAAATTTAACGAAGTTTCCCAACTACATATATATAATCAGGTGAGAAAAGCTTCAGCCTTTAATTGGGTACTTTGATAAGATTAAAGCAATGATTACTCTTTTTACTTTATTTTCTCAAGCTGTCGATTAACTTTGTCATCATCATCAGCAGCTACAATAACATTTGAAAAATAGCAAGTACAAGTGCAAGATTGATTTCAAACTACTTACAACAGTAGGTGATATTGTTGCTAAATGTTATCATTAACTAACTTAATGAGAACATTCAGTAGCCTGATGAAAGCTGGATACATGGTAACAGTCGTAAAATACACACAACTGTGCGTCAGCAAAACATCACAACGGATTAAAAACTTGAGAACGTAAGAAAACAATCTTATTGCTTAACGGGACAAAACGATCGGAAACAAGAAGAAAACATGACAGTTGACATTGGCTGATAGGTGACAGGTCAGTGGCTGGAACATGTGTGTCTGTGTTATAGACTGTTGCCAAATCTACTTGAAAAAATGTAATTTTTCGAGACAATGTCAACCAAACATTTTTTAAATTCTTAAAGACAGTGGATGAGACCACATAGTAAAACGATCAAAAAACTGGATGTGTTTTTCATAAAACCACTAACAGACTTGAAAGAATCAAAGATCAATTAATTTTATTGAAACTTTCCTACAACTCATCTTTGTGGAACCTCCACATGTTCGACACGTGTTCAGCAGGCCGACAGACTTCTTTTAAGTCTGCTAGTGGTTTTTTGAAAAAACAGCTATGATTTTTCAAATAATATTTATAAATGAACCACATACATCCTGTCTTTTTAACGTTTCACTATGTGGTCTCATCCACTTTCTTCTAAGAACAATTCAGCAACAATCTCGCCGATTCACACCTGATGATGATAGCATAGACTATCGAAAGCTTGAGTTTTAAGTTAAAAGAGTACACTTTGCCTTTTTTGCCGAGTTCCCAAAGACATCAAGGATGCTTTCTCCTAGCTAGTTACGACGATGGCTATGTCCAACGTCGAATGGCAGCTGGATAACTTCATAATCTGTGCAACTGTCTTCATAGGTTATCCGCTGTTAATGATCGTTATGAATGCGAATATAGTAATAAAAAATTAATCATTCCAGAAGAAGAGTGTCATATCTTATTTAAAAAATATTCTTACTGTGGAGCGGCTGATGATAGCACATATTCCAGGTTAAAGAAACTTTGAAGACAACAGTGCGCTACGGTTTGATTTTTTAGGCATTCAAAAAATAGAGGCTACATAAATCTTTGATACAGACGAAGCACTCTGAATATCTCCACTGCAGCGTTTTTTAGAGGGATAAGGAGTTTAGAAATCCAATTCCATCTTTCGTGTGCTACCCAATGAGTGAAACCGTAGATGCCGTTAGTTGGTTTATACTTTTTAAAATAGTGCATAAATGCCAGTAAAGTACGTAGTTTTTCAATATGCGATGTTTTTCCATCAGCCTGTAGAAGAAAGATGGACTGGAGAGACAATCACAGGTTAAGTCGTTCTAGACGTTACGTTGAAGTTCCTTTTATTTGTGATCCTGAAGGGGATAAAACTGTGATAAGTGGCTTGAAAAAGGTGGTCACTTGCAGTTTTTTATAGTTCACTTCAACTTCAAAGTCTATCAAAGAAGAAACCCCACCCGCGTCTTAAGGAAACCGCACGAAATAGAATGGCGAAGACTCTAACCTCAGGAAAAATTAATAACCACCTAATAGTTATGTTTGCAATTTTGGCTTCAGGACACAGTTTCGTTGATAGGGATACGTCGCTTTGACTCATGGTCGAAAAATGAGATTCCTCCGAGTCGACAGAAAAGCCTTCGATCCTTGGCTGTGCCCCCACGATCGCACGTGGTTCAATGTTACAGCGAAGTGTCTTTTTGGATCGACCACTGAAGTTGTGGTTTGCCAATCCGCAGGGCGCTTTATATTCAACATGACCAAAAGCCTTAAAATCCAAGCGAAGTATTAACTTTTCAATTGATACCCCTGCATGATGAAGTCCTGGACACCTATTGAAAAGGGGATAATCGAATTATTGAGAGAAAGTGGGCGTGGTTCTCTTTCCCGGGGAATGACATCAAAATATGACAGTCACAAGGTGTGAATGCATTCAATTTCGTCAAAACAATAGCTTCCTATCTTCTTCATATCAGTGAGCGTTGACACTGTCTATACAGATGGGTTTGGTGGACGATGGCGAGTCACTCGCTCGTTTTCTCCAGAAAATAATTCCAGGCCCACTTTCTCTGTTATTCCTTCCCTCATTTCAAGAATTGAGTCCTCTTTGCCGCGACATTAAATGATCGTAAATAAAAAATATACATACCCGAGATTTTGAAAATTTGAACAAGATAACTCTTAAAAAAGTTGATGGGTAACTTGAGAAACGTAATATAACAAAGATTGTAAATGTTTTGATTGCATTTGCTAATTATTCCACAGCAAATCAGTGGATTTTCAACTATATAGTAGTCAAACCTGCTGCTAAAATTTCATGAAAATAGGTGTAGCTTTCATTAACATAACGCGGTTACAAGCACGAGAATACTCATATTGGCCTACTGACAGACTGACTAAGATAAATTGTGATTTTTCGTGATGTATAGGTATGATAGAAACCAAAAAGTAATATTTTTAGCATTTCGGATATTGCTCATTCGTGAGAATCATGTACCTCCTGAATTTTTGAGCATTGTTTAGGTTGGTATGATATTGACCGAATTAACTAGATTGAAACGCAAAAAATGATTTCACAAAAGGCAAAATTTTCAAAAAAATTTTAGACTGGTTCAGTTTTTTAACCGAAGCGAATTGATATTCTCATTCCTAGCAACCTTCCGAAGATATCCAATCATAAATTGGCACTTCGACTCGTAACACCCGTCTTATCAGTACAGGTGACATCTGAGCTATTACAGAATAAGAATTTGAAGTTCACCGGTTGAAGCTACTATGCGCTCGTCATCGCTACGCGCCGAGAAGGAAGAGAGCTTCCAGCATAACGTGATCTCGCTGCCGCCGCCCCGTAGCTAATGACCAATCTCTACAATCGACATTTCAAAAACTGGGAAACAATCTTTCAATCCGCCTAATGCATTTGAATAAGTTATATATTTATAGTGTATGTACATACATATGTACTGGACATCCCAATCCACATATATATTTCTTATAGGAGAATAATATCAACATCAGCCGACGATACGCTGTGTCAGACCTACTCGAGCGGCGTCACGTAATGCACGTAAGGCGCGGGAAAGACGTCGAGGTGAACTGTAAGGTGTGTTTATCTTTAGTTTATGAAATGGGTCTCCTAGTAGGAAAGCAGTGTCAAGTAGATAGCTTTTCGGTTTATAGTAGGACCCGATTTTCATCTAACATGGTGAGAAAGTTTTGAGACAGATTGATCTTGCGGTTGGCAAGAAGCGGTTGGCAAGAAGCACTTGCCAAATTGTTACTACAGAAGGCGTGAACCGGAAGTTCTTTTAAGAAACCTAAGTAACACGCTTGCGGCTAGATGGTAAAACTTGTCCCATTTGGGTTATTCCTTTCTGTGATGAATGTGCTTTTATACTAAACTTTAATACCGAGGTACTGCATCTGCTATAACTATCTAAGTCTAAGAGATATTTGACAGATCCGATTTTTGAACTCTTCCAGGTCACTAAGCTGGGAAAAATTAGGACCAACCTTACCGGTCATTCCTCGATGAACGGAGTTTTTAAGACTTAGAATGTCTAATGGAAGTGTGGCGGGTTTGTCTGGTAGGCCTAACGTGTGGCGGCATCATGATAGTCTAGTAGCAGAGCCCTCATTTTGAATGCGGGACATTATTAGGCAGCTATAGGAGCATATAAACATATTTAAGTCATGCGATCCAAATCGTGGCCACCATATTAAAAAAGTGGTCGTCAAGCTGTAAAGCGGTCATTCAACATACCTTTGAAACCAGTGAGCCGATTTCAACTTTTCAACGCTCATTTGACTTTTTTTTAAGCAAACATTTTATGATTGCCCAGTCTTTGAATAATTCAGCAGTTATTCAGATATGTTTTCAAATGTTATAGATTTCGGCAGGTATTCAAATAATACTACTTGGTGTGAGAAAGACATCTATTTTTGGTAGAGTAAATATCACTTTCGAACAGTTAAAAGTGCTTCTACAGATCAAATAATACAGGAACAAGTTCACAAGTTTGCAGAAAGATCATCTCAAGATTCAATGTGTGGCAGGAATTAAGAAATAAATTAACTGTATTTTAATAAAACTCTGTGAAGTTACATTACGCTAATCGAATCAGATACATTTATGTGATTTGTTCTTCGCTGGCATATTCACCTTGATTGTTAAGTTCACTTCCTATATGATCATTCACTGCATTTGAATTCTATATTAAAATTGCTACATGCAATCACAAAATGACGTCAAGTAGGTTGACTCGTTCGGGAGTCACGATATTCAGCGGATTAGGATCCATTTCGTGAGAATCTGTGAAATGTGGTCCACTCTGGAGCGTGAAACACCCCACCACGCAACATTAAGATGATTTCAAGTAGGTTGACTCACTCTAGAAATAACGTGTTTGGGCGAATTAGGATATATTTCTCGAGTGTCTGCGAAATGTGATCAATGCAGGAGAGTGTGTGATCCAGGCAGGAGAGTGAAACTCCGACACATGAAATATTAAAATAACGTCATGTAGGTTGACTTGTTCTGTCTGGAATCACGATACTGGGCAGACTAGGATACATTTCGTCCGCGTCTGCGAAATGTGCTCCATGCAGGAGTGTGGAACACCCCACCATGCAGCATGCAGAGAATAATAATAATAGGAAATGGGGTCTATGCGGGTGAGTGAAACACTCCAACGTGCAACAAGAAATGACGTCAAGTAGATTGACTGGTTAACAGAACGACGTTATTAGTTGAAACATGTCAGAAACGGTACGAGGCTGGATGGTACAACAGTAAGATGAAATCCTTAAGTTGTTAAATGACCTTGATTGAGATGCTTTACACTAAAATGGTTTCTTTAGTCACAGATATGTGTAAAAAGTACTTTTGGTTTTTAGTAATGGATACCGCATACTGTTAACTTTGAGAGTAAACGTAAATTTAGTCTTATGGCAATAAGAAAGTTGTCCTCGAATTAGGTAAAAACAAATTTATTGTAAGGCGGCGAGGAAGTTTTAGAACCACGGGTTTTGTGCTCGTGCAGATGTTTTTTATTATCGTTTGAGAATCTTGCCTCAGAAATATGGTTAATGCAGATAGCTTTGGAACTGCAAGTCATGACAGTAACCCCACAGGTTGGGGTTACTGTAGTTTTTTCATTTGAGCAAAGTTTGGAGGAAGACATTTTTATGTGAGATCTGAAGAATAATGGTTCTAGCATAAGGCTTAGAAACTGGAATTGCTTGGAAGGTCGCACTTACTAATTGAGTGCTTCAGAGCAGTATCGCCAAGTCTTGAGACTGCAAGTATCGACTTTGCATTTAGATGGTAGCACTTTCCAAATTAGGTTATTATCGTGTAAAAACCTAGAAATTATGGTTTACAATGTTTTCACTGTTAGCTGTACACTTTTTTCTTTGCCTTAGATAGATGATTACCAAAAAAGCAAAGTTTTGTGTGAGACATTCAAGATATACGATCCAGCGAGAATATTTTGAGACTTTTGATATGAGGGTGATTCCCTTCTAAGATTCGAGAGATACCGATTTGCGAGAGAATTTTGAATGTTCATGTGCAACCAAAAAAATTAAAAATCCAATACGATACTGTGGTAGCCATGCAAAGTTTCAGTTCCCAATGTATCCTTTTGAATACGCGGATATGCGTGGCATCACTGTGATATATTATAAGTGGATGTCAATTACCTAAAGGTTTCTTATTTGGAGGGGAGTAATGACAGCCATCTGAAGGTCCTTCTTGGGTATTGTACTTTCTGCACAGTCTCCAGTTACAAGACTTCTTCACAAGTCAGATATTTATGTTCCATAAGAGTACAAGTGGTAATATTTATCTTGATATATCAAATTCACTTTTTACGAGTTATTCTTGTTTGTTATAAAAAAGTAGCAATCGCTGTTTGGTACTATTGCATACAGAAAAAAAGTCAAGTAATAGTACGAACAGGCATAGAGGGCAAATAAGATTTGTACAGTGCCATCTTTTTTGTAGCAGCAATTTTAATATGGAATTCAAATGCAGTGAATGATAACATAGGAAGTGAACTTACCAATCAAGGTGGGTATGAATAACCACAAATTCGGCGGAGACAATGCACATAAATTCATCTGATTCGATTAGCGTAGTTTAATTTCTCACAGTGCTTTATTA